ACTAAAAAGATCAGTTCTCATCTTGGATAGGAAAAAGTGGACACCTATAAACTTAAAGAGGACACTATCCCAGCACCAAGATTTAAACTTCATCTTTGGATTTAGTTTTCACATTGCATACAATACATTCATATTGTCTCATGGAGCTGCTGTTGGCAAGGACAGATGCACTTGCTGGTTCCTTTCCTTAGGATTTCAAACTGGAAGCCACACCTCTAGGTCTGGGAAGTAGATTGCTTGTGAATGTTAGCCCAAATCCACCCACTGAAAGAAACACCTGGTGCTACACCAAGTCCCAGAGAGATATGAAACGTGAAACAGAAGGTGATAAGGGGCTTCATGTGACTGGGGTACATCTATGGAGACATGAATTAAATACTCATTTGTTTAAAATTTCGGATATGGGGCTGGGGATTTAGCTCAGCGGCAAAAGCGCCTGCCTGGCAAGCGCAAGGTCGTGAGTTCGGTTCCCGGTACCGGAGAAAAACCAAAAAACCAAAAAATCCAAAAAAAAAAAAAAAATAAATAAAATTTCGGATAACCTCACGTAATGCAACTAGGAAAACAGCTTGATCTTTGTTTTCCAGACCAGATAGTGATTTGAGTGGCCATTTGAGCATCTGGCCACTGAAAATTCAAATGCTGCAAATGATTCTCTGAGGTTTTGTTTGAGTAACTGTCCAACTCAATATAAACAAACAAACACTCGCTACTGATTAGAGATAGCCCTAGATCAAAGCCACAGCGCTGGGACGATACTATTTTTAAAAGATGATACAGTCCTTTACTTGAGGCAAATAATTTTGCTATTAATTAATGCTATTAACATGATGTCAAGTATATGTATACTCTCCAGCATAGTCAGAGGAAATTTAGAATACCATTAAAGTAGTAACGGCAATTATGATACTCTCTTCTCTGGACTGGGTCTTAATTATTTCTAGAACTAACCATTTGTAATTATTTAAAATAGATTTTTTATCCCAAGTGACTGCATGCTATTTTTCCATATCTCCAAACACTTTAATTGCAGCTAAAAATGAGCCCCTAATTCAACAAAAGTGTTTTGATAATTTTTCAATTTAACTATCAATTCTGCTTTTATTGCTTTTACCACATTTAATAATCTCATAAAACTCTGGAGTGAATCAATTCTTTTTTGGTAGTTAAGTGGCAATTATTACAAAGAAACAATTGATGTCATTTCAATAAGCTATAAATCCAAATCCTTTAAATTCAAGCATCCCAATTCCATCAAGCTTGAAGTTTTAATAGAATGAGTTTTTAAAATGTAATGTGAAAAGCATCATCACTTCAGAGATGATAAAAAGTAACTAAACTGCCTTTTCTCCAAGCTTCCTTCCTTCTTCTTACTGTCTCTGGCCCATTTTCTTCCAAATCTACACATTATTTACATATCACCTGATTAATAAAGAGTTAGCAAAAAGGGAAGAGCGCTACTTCACCCACCTGCTTTTAGCAAAGAGAATCTATTTTGTTTCCCTAAAGGTTCACACCAATATTGAACCCTTGATGGCAGAAACATTTTCTACCTGTGAAAATAACTGAATAAGCATAAGATTTCCTAAAGGTATATTCATTTATTTTTAATCTCTGTGAATTTTTCTGTTGCCAGTTACATGGTCATTTTCATATTTTAAAAAAATTCTATAAAGCAGAGAAACATTGTCAGAGGGTAAAGAGGATTATGAGAGTGAATTAAAATATTTTCCTATCCAGAAAGAGACAGTCTATGTTTGTTCTATATATTAAATAAAGGCTTGAGTCACCCAAACAAATTTATTATTTATTGTAATTTCACAAATAACAAGGTGAGGCATCAAAATAATTTTTTAAAAATCGCAGAATGGAAGCAAGCACACAGGGGTGAATTTCACTAAGTTGCTCTCCTTGACACATTCATTTGAAATGGGTAACCTCAATTCTTTTAGAGTGTGCTTTTGACAGCACAGGGATATGATAATACTTTCTTTACTAATAAGACACCTAGGAAGAAAGGAAGTCATAGTTTGATAAAGTAGCTGAATCCAGGAGCATGGAATATACCAGAATTGAAGATTATTGACTGAGCAGTTTTCTTAATTTACTTCCACAGACATGGAACATGCCAGAAAGATTGAACAATTTCTTATACTTAGTTTATTTACATCCCTCTCCCTTTTAAATTTCATGTTAGACATTCAACTTTAAAATTCACATATGCATTGCTTTGGTTATCTAACAGCCTCTATTCTTGCTTGGCTTTATATTCATGGCTTATCTTTGCTTCTCTTCTGCTGATAATTTCAGATGGAGTCAAGCCAAGGTCTAGTTGCTTGTTCAAGTCCTAGCAATACTTTATACATCATTGCCTCTATTTTAGATAACAACTCTTCGGTAGATTAAATCGTGGATAATCTTGTCAACATCCATCAGGAAGCAAAGTTCAAGAAACAGCATTGCAGCTCATCCTTTCCCCCAGGTTTGAGATAAATTGGTCTGCTTTCCCTAGCTACTGATCATAAAAAAAGACTGAAAGGTATAGACACGCTGCTTTAACCCTATCCTGAGTATTCTGCATGCACTATTTTTAGAAAACAACAACAAAAAAAACTTGCCCACAATTGGAAAACACAGCAAAGAAAACTCAGATTTGTTTTTACTCTTATCAATAACAATCCAGAATCAACTCAATATCTCATGCACAAGTACCTCCTCAAAAGAGAAAAACAGCCAGAGATATTGTAGAAGCTTTATCAATATTTTCTAACAGTTGCCAAATCTTAAATGTTTTCTGCTCAGGAGATGTTTGCCACTGTCCGTGGTTCTCTATCACGATCAGTGGAACCTACTTTCAAAGATGGAAAAAAGATGAGGACCTAGCCCAGCCTCTTCGAAGGCAAAAGTAGGATGGCTCCATGGACTTACCTGCTTCTCCTTGTATGAACGTCCAAACGAACCAAGTCCTCCCTTTCTGCACAGCTTCCTTCTCCTTTGTATTAACAGAAACGACTCCTCTCAGATGCCCATGCAACCTTGGAAATGCAGCCACCTGGCTCACGCGCTGGTGTGAAAATCTGACCCCTAGCTCTCATCTCTTTTACACACCCTCTCCTCTCTCCAAAGCTCATCAACTTTGCTGAGAAACCTGCCAAGGCTGGACTAGGAGTAAACTGTTTCTCTGCCCTTTGGATCGGAGGCCCCTGACACAGGACTCGGTCGGCTGGCGCCTCACTGAATAGGGTGCTGCCACAGCACCTTTCTGCATTTATGCTTAACAGAAAGCTAAAGAGAGGAGGACCACTCTGGTCGGGGGTGGGGGCGCTGATCCTGTGTGTATGCGAGTGTGTGTGTGAGGGCGCGCGTGTGTGCTGTTTTTCCATGGTCTTGATAGTTACTCTAATGCACTGTCATGCATGAAATGGATAATTAGTACGCTCTGGGGCGTCATGTAACTCCGCGGATAATCTGATATTCAGATTCAGCACTGGCAAGGAATCCTTGGGATCTGCAAGGTAAGGAGCCCCCTACTGCTTACTGGGGCTGTAGACCCGGAAGAAGAGGCGGCTCGCGCTGGCCATGGTGCTGAACCCAGAGCTGCCTGGGGGCCCCAGGGAAACTTTGGCCGAGGCACAGAAGAAGCCAGCCAGGTCTAGGTGCCCTCTCGCGGGTCGCCAATGGGGAGTGCGAGAGAGCTGATACTCCAGGACCCTCCAAAAGGCACACAGCTGAATTATTTCTTTGCCTAGAGCCAGGAAAGTTTTGTCCGGCATTTTTTTTTCCTCTCTGTAACTGGCGCTGCCGTCTCCCCTCCCACCTGGGTCGCCATGGAGACTGGAGCTCTCTCTCCAGGCAAAATGGGCGAAGCTTAGTTAGCTCAGCTCTGGCTATATAGCAAGTCGCCTTCTCTTTCTAAGCGGTTCCTGGGCATCCCCCTCTCAGATTTGCGGCAAAAGAAAGGCAGTCAGGGCACCGTGCTGGCAGGGATGATGAGCCGTGCGCTCTCCAGGACACTCGGTCCAGAGCCACTTTAAACATAAACTGAATAAACTCCCAAACGCTGGAGGTTTCCCCCTCTCTTCCATTTTTGGGGATGGAGGCGGGATTCGCTGGAAAATTCTGGTATTTTGCCTCTCCCCTGACCTTACACCATTTCTGTGGGTGCTTCTGTTATGTTCCTCCCTGGGAGTCCGTGCTGAGCCTACCACACGAGATGTACCTGTGGATCCACCTGGGGTTTTATGGGGTTTGGGGAATACTAATGCTATTTCAGTTAAAAACTAATCCACGTTTAATGTCTTGATGCAAATAAAAATATACCCAAGAGGATTCTAAGTCAGTAGATTCGCCCAACCCCCCCGCCAGCTATAAACATCCCATTTTATCAGAAGGGTGTTTTTCCGTCCAATTCCAAAATAATTCCCCTGACTTCTAGGGAGGACTTCCTTCTCTGCGCTTGGCCACGGTACCGCATCACATCCCCGGTCGAGAACAGTTAGGAGGACTTTCCCTTCTCTCATCGTCTTAGTTCTCACTTTTCCTGCTTTTCCTGTCTTCCTGCCTCCCCTTTCTTCTCTTACCTCCTCACCTCTTTACGAAAAGGCAGAACAGACTACAGCTTTCTCAAAGACAATGGGCTTTTCCCAACTGTAAATGACCACGCCGCAAGCCAGTCCGGCGGTGCGTTTCGTCTTCCCCAGTGGATGCTGCGAGCTGCCTGGAGCCCGGGGCGTGCAGCCCCCTCCTCCCACCCAGCGCCCCCACCCCCTGCGAGTTTTCAGTTGCTAATGAAAACCGAACGAAACAGATTTCCCTCCTGTTATGTAACCAGCATCTCCCTAGCCTTTGGGTGGACGTGGACATCGTGCTCCCCATCGGAGCGGAGGCGCCTGCGGGGACCGCGGGGCTGAGGAGGGGGACCGGGGACCCGAGGGCACCCCACGACTCGCCCAGACGGATGCCAGCGCCTGGCCTTCAGCGACTCCGCGCGCACCTCTTACCTGGCTTCGGACAGGGTGGTCTCACTCAATCATGGTCTCCCCTCTTGGAATGGAGCAAGATTTAATAACGCACGGCACGGTCGATGGCGAGGGTAGGAGATGAAAAAAAAAAGAGAGAAGGAAAAGAAAAGCTGGAAGCAGATGGTCACATTTCACAGCGGCCCCGGGAGGCTGTTAGGAGACTCCATTCTCCTCTCGGTCCATGCAGCTCCGGCCCCCGCTCGCAGGTTCCCGCGGATGCCAGCCCGTCGCCCGCCCGGCCGCTCCAGCCAGGCGCGGCCGGCTCCGGACTGGCTCCCGTCAGCCGAGCGCGGAGCGGAGGTCTCGGCGCCCGGGCCACAGGGGGCGCGGAGTGGCGCTCGGTCGGGCAGGGACGGGGGAGGGAGGCTGGGTGGCAGGAAGCGGGAAAGGCGAGTAGCAGGAAAAAAAGAAATAAATCCTTGGTTAGGAAAAAAGTGATGGACCACGCAGGGAGACGTCATGAAATCCGCAGATTCAGTGAATGCTACTCAATTCCAGCCGACTGGCTGAGCCGCGCCGGAGGCGCACGAAGCGACGACTCCGGGATAGAAGCGTGCGCAGCGCCGCGCACTGGAGAGCGAGGGCGGCGCAGCGAGGGCGGGGGCGGGGCGCCGCGGGAGCACCGAGCCGACCCCAGCCGCCCACCCGCCGCCCCTCCTGCGGTCCTCTGAGCACCCGAGGGACCCCTCCACTGCAGGGCCAAACTGGAGATTTGGGTGCTGGGTGCTGGGGGAACCGTTGGGGTTTAGCTACCCAAACCCCCACATTTCACCTGATGTCACTAACTAAGTTCTTCCTGGGGAAACACCTGGAGAGCAGCAAAGAGCTGGAACTCGGGATCAGTTTTTATCCAGCGGTTGTAAGGACGCGGTCTGTAGGTGCTGAGGGGAGATCAGAGTAAAGAGGGTCTGGTCATTGTCTCTCGGTGGGCTGGGGTCCCGGAGGGAGAGGCAGCTGGGGAGAAGGCAGCGTGCACAAGGCAGGAGGGGGCGCAGAGGGCAAGCTGGGTCGGGGGAGCCCCATCCCCACTCCACCCCGGCCGCTTGCCCCTGGCAGGGTGACCCAGTGTGTGGTGTGGTCCCGCTGCTCCATCGCGCCCTTTGGTAGCTCTGTTTAGGGGCACTGGAGACAAAGGATGTGGACTTTACCGAGCATGATTCCGGTCGCCCGCAACACTGGTCAGAACAAACCTCCTGGACAGCTGCCTACGCCTTCCTGGAGTTTGCCTTGCTGTTATTATTCCTAGGGGCAGCTCACAGTGCTTCCCTCTGCGCGCCCTATTTTCTTTGTAGTCATTGCAAACGGTAATTCTTCCTTTCCAAAGCCTTCCTGCAACTTCCTTCAGTTTATCCACGTACTTCTCTTTTATGCCATCTTTTCCCTATGGAGAAATGGTTTAAGGAGCGGTTATAAGAATGACAGATACCGTTGGTTAATAATTTTATAATGGCCTTCTCACTAACCGGCTATTCTGTGTCACTTGATACAGCGACTTTCCTCCCACAAGGATCTCCAGCTGACCCTATGGAAAGTCAAGGTTCTTAAAAGCTATTATTGCCAAGGCTTTTTAAACTCTACGTTCTAACATATGACACAGAAATTCGGTCCCTCAAGACGCTGTCTGTTCTCTAAAAATGATTTTAATGCGGACAGGTGTCTGCCCAATTTGTAGCATCGATTACAGATGAGTCCCCTCGACACACAAACTTTGAGCTTGTATTTGTTGCTGATTTTCCCCGTAGTTCTAATCTCACTCTCTCTTACTTCTGAGTCGCACAACCCATATACAGAAAATATTAGTATTGTAATGTGTGATTTTTACCCTCCATAGGGTCTGCTGGATCAGAGATAGAGGTAAACAAAGAACAACGGGCCGGACTTCACAATCCCTAGGTCAGTGGTAGCGAGCCCACGGCACATGTGTTATTTGTTTTTCTTTTAAGAGAGAAGATATTAATATATGAGTTGTTTTTTCTCAATTAAACCTCAGTATTCAGGTTCAATGGCAGTATCGGCACTTTGTGATAAATCAGTGGGTTTGGGGTTGCAGTTCGGGCGCTCCTCTCTAAAGGGAGAGTAAGGCTGCAGGAGGCAAGAATGTTGGGGGAGCAACCAGGAGCATTAAAACAGCAGCGCACTGACTACATTTGTCTAAAGAGCATTCTGTTTAGTCTGAGAAGCTGCTGTAGGTAAGCCTGTTAATTTTGTTTGTAGATCTATCTGACCAGCAGAAGGATTTCACAGAGTCTCTCTCTTATAAGACATTGTGCTAACCAAGGAGGTCCAGAGGTGGTGATAGCCTGTTTGTCCCTTTCCCACACGGGCAACTCCTGAGCCGCAGCAGCTGCTGGGTGGTGTGGGCTGCCTGGCTGCATGCGCGGTGTGGCAGCATGTGCTGAATGAGTTGGGTCACACAGGCGTGGCATGGGACTTGATTAAGGCCAGAGACCAGAGCAATTGGCTTAACTGGGTTCATTTATTCCTTCAAGCTCAGCCCGTGGTCTGCACGGGTGTAACTAAAAGGAATCAGTGTGCAGCTGTGTCTAAAAATCAGCCAAGTTCAGCTTCAGAGATGCAGGCTGCTGCCCCTCTGAGCTCTCAGACTCCTGCATATTACGCTGGCTGTGTCTGGAATCACATTTGCAGATGTGTTTAATGATTTCAGGTAAGAGCAAAGCAGGGGATTAAGAGGGACTTTGTGGGTAGGCCAGTGCTCCAAACCCGACACTGACAGTGGCTTTTAGGATTGATGGATTCTTTCATAAAGATGAGGCTGTTTCCTTTTCCACATATCCAACTGGAGTGAAGGGTTAGTAGCTAGTAAAATTGACAAGCTGAATTATCTGGATGAGGTGTTGTTTGCTTTGTGTAAACTCATTTTTTTTCTCTACTGATGGTGGCAGATTTACAGCCCAGCCTGTCTCCCTGACCCAGGCACAGATCTGGCCTTGTCCTGACCAGGTGGCTGCGGAATCAGTGCTATGGTTTGTGTCTAGACGTCCCCTCAAAGCCTCACGCGGTCATAAATTTTATCTGGAGGTGGCTGAATCTAGAGTGTGTAGTACAATGCTGAGATTAAGGGTGCTTGGATTAGGATGGGTGATTGCTAAATCAGTCCACTGATTGGATCGCTGCCACCCTAATCCTGGTAGATTGGATACAGAACAAGGGACAGAAAGAGGCTTGTCTCCCCCTCGTTGCTTTTGCTGTCTTCTGCTGCCATGAACGGTTGCCCCTCTCCCTGCCTGGGAGCCAGCCAATTATGGACCGAAACCTCTAAAAACCGAGAGCTAAATAAATCTTTTCCCCTTTAACTTTGGGTGTCAGGTACTTTGTCTCAGCAAGGAAAGGTAACTAAGACAACCAGTGTGGGTGGAAGTTTCTGGTCTCTGGGCTGAGGTTTGTTATAGATTTAAGACCTTGGGCTGTTTTGGAGAGCTAGTTCTGCTTTTATTTTCTTTCCCTGCCCACTTTCCCCCTTAAGAAACACAAAACACCAACATCTTTAAAGTTCAAAGCAGTATGTATACATTTTAAAGGATGACTTAGGCTGAAAAACCCCTGAATCTTGAAGAGTATCAAGAAAGAAATTTCAAAATTATTCAGTTTGTCAGTTCCCCTCTACTAAGTGGATCTCATTGGTGTTTCTTATTTAGGGAATATCCATGTACAGCTGTTGTATTTAATTTTTTGGGCCCTGCTTATAACTTTGGAGGTGCATACTTAAGAAATATTTCCAGATTTGAAAGGTTAAAAACTTTTGCTAAGAAGGGAGTTTCAGATGGTTTTAACTTCCAAACTTGCTGGGTACTTTATTCCCAGTTACTTAGTTATTACTTCCATTTTCCTCTGACACACTTTCATCTTCTGCACATTTTCCTTACTTTGGAACTATACTTATGCTTCTGGCTAATCTTAAATTAGAAATACTTACAAATACTTTACATTACCTATTTTTAATTTAATTCCATGACTTGATAAATGAGTGCAGTCCAAATACTCATTTGGTTCTTTCTTTGAATGATATTTTATCAGCACACTCTTAAGCGAGTGTATCCTTTGTAATCACACTCTTCCTCCAAAAATTCATTAAAGTGCGATTTTAAAAAAGTGCAGTGCCTTTAAACACATTTCAAAAGACCACCAGGAGGTGATGATTGCAAACAATTGCATAGAGGAAATGTAGTTAATTTTCCTGTACCTATTCAGAGAAGTAATTTTAATTAATATGACACCTGCACAAAAGAAACATTCAAGGCCAAAACAAACAAATTGCATTTGTGAGATGTTCTTTCTTGGTGGTTGATCATTGACTAAAATGCCCAGATTCTTTTTTTTTTTTTTCTTTTTACTGATCATCTTAGTAAAGAGTCTCTGAGTTGGAGAGAATGAGGTAACGGTCCCCCTTGCATCACTGTTGCAATGTCAGTGTCACCTCTGTAGTCACACTGACATCAAGCATGCACCTGTGGTGGACCTTGTTTGTTTTTAGGAGTGATGGCGCTTGCATAGCACCCCAGGCTCCACTGCTCTCTACTTTTGTTCCTTCAAGTGTCCTGGAATCCACTTCCAAATTACAGTCATCCCTGGGCCATCAAAAGTCAGAGTCAGCTACTTAGGCACTCCAGAAGACATCGCAAGCAATAGGTTCAGACAGAAGTTTCCCCGCTTTATCATTTTGTCCATAAAACCATGTTGCAGATGGAGTCTGTAGGAAGCAGACTCTGAGTTGGAGTTTAGTGTGCTGGATGTTTACTAGGGACATTTCTAAGTGATGTAATGTCCGTGAGATCAACATCCATGGAAGAGAGGGGGAAAGATTTAGAACTGGTCCTCCACCTTGGCTGATCCCCTAGAGAGCTCTGAAGCTAAAGTAGCCCATTAGCACTGTCCTCCCTTGGGCCTAAATGGCCTCTGGCAGCTAGATCACTGGATGTGGGTCAGCCTGGCAAAGGCATGCCTTTGGGCCAGGTGCCTCTCTACACCTGACAGCTAAATGCTAATTATAGCAGCCTTCCAGCAGTTAGGCCAACAAGACCTTTGAAGGGCTATCTGGTGTATCTCCTTGTCCACCACAGATGACTCTGACAGCAGCATTACTTATTGCACAGGATTACTGTGATTAATATGTGACATAACTGCAAAGCAAGTCCCCTGGGGGTTGGGTACCATTTCAGCCCACCACATCTTGGACTGAGCTTTAGTCTATTTTCTGAGTCCAGAGAGGTAGAACACTACCAAGTGCAAGACGTCATGAGAACTGGGCTTATCACTTACAGATAGGCTGTGAGAGGTGTGAGGGTGAACTCCTTACCCAAGGTCCAGGAAAGCTGCCCAGGGTGGATGAAATCGTATCTTTGTGTATCCTACTTGCACAGTAGCTGATGTACCACAGCAGGCAGTCTTCCCTAGGTATAAAACCCCACCACAAGATTTCTAAGGCAAAGCATTGAAGGACATCCTAATTCTAAGACCATCAAGAGAGCCCAGCTCCTCTATCCAGT